GTAAAATTTACCTCACAGAGCTGTTTAGTTCAAAACGACTTGAGTCCTACGAGTACGTTCGTGTTGAAGAATTGCGAGACTCTAGGTCTCGCCTATATGCCTTCTCAGGGAAGCCGATTGTGCTAAAAGATTATCTCTCACGCTTTACCCTAAGTATTATAAGCAGAATTGTCTTGGGTAAGAAGTACTTTTGTGAGTCGAAACCTGAAACGTCGGTCGTGACACTTGAAGAGTTCCAAGAAATGCTGGACGAGTTGTTCTTGCTGAATGGCGTGCTAAATATTGGGGATTGGATTCCTTGGATGGATTTCTTGGACCTGCAAGGGTATGTGAAGCGAATGAAGGTCTTAAAGAAAAGACTTGATCGATTTCATGACCATGTGTTTGATGAACACAAAGCCAAAAGGGAAGGAGAGAAGGATTTTGAGGCAAAAGACATGGTGGATTTACTACTGCGGCTGGCTGATGATTCCAATCTTGATGTTAAGCTAACTTCTGATAGTGTCAAGGGGTTCACACAGGTAAATGTCTTTCCTCTTCCAGTCTTTAAATTACAGAGTGCATGATATTTAGAAAGTCAAATAACTACAAATTCAAGAATTTTAGGTATTGAAATCAACGGAAGACTTAATTTGAGCATGATGTGGTTGTGAAATGCATAATAAAAGCGTTAATAGAGAAAGAGTTGACAGCTAGCGTTACCGATGATTAAGGTTAATTGACTAAGTTTATTATATTAAGAAATATTTGAGAGCACATGCAATTAGGTAATTAGTCTATAGCTCCTTCAAAGATGCAACCCAGTGCAGGAACTTCAATCTATGAAGGTTACAAGTTGAAGAGAACATCATGTTTTATAGTAGTTTGAGAGAAGACACATGCCCACATGAGTGGTTCAAACTTCAAATTATTGCCGATGACTAATGACTAACCAGTCACACTTATATATACAGTCGATTCTTGCCAAAGTCAAATTTTATAAGATAATTCAAGCCAGTTGACCATGTAAGTTTTATGGGCTGAATCAAACAAAAATTAAATTAAATAACAAAACCGGTGAACACATGTTTTAAAGTCAATTTATATATATATTTGTTGAAATTATCTATGAGCTATTATTTAATATTTCAATATATGATAATGTGAATTTTGAATTAGTATTCTAAATAACAACCTGTCCTTCGTAATATATGTAACCAGTGATTCATTTTTTTGGTGTTGTTCATTCGTGATCAGGATCTAATTGCTGGAGGCACGGATACCGCAGCTACAACTGTGGAATGGGCTATGTCTGAACTCCTGAAACAACCAGAGCTTATGAAGAAGGCAACAGAAGAACTTGATAGAGTAATTGGCAGGGAAAGATGGGTTGAAGAGAAAGACATCCCACAACTTCCTTATATTGATGCAATCATGAAAGAAACCATGAGGATTCATCCAGTCGCTGTACTCTTAGCCCCGCATTTGGCCCTTGAAGATTGCAATGTTCCTGGTTACCATATTCGTAAAGGCACTAGAGTGTTTATAAACTCCTGGAGTTTAGGTAGAGACCCTTCATCATGGGATGAACCTGAAGATTTTCGGCCTGAGAGGTTCATAGGCAAAGCAATTGATGTGAAGGGCCCAAGCTTTGAGTTCTTGCCATTTGGCTCTGGTAGGAGGATGTGCCCTGGCTATAGCCTTGGACTGAAAATGATTCAGTCTAGTTTAGCCAACATGTTACATGGTTTTAACTGGAAGTTGCCAGGGAACATAAAACCTGAAGATATCAGCATGGAGGAAGTTTATGGATTGGCAACAATAAGAAAGTTCCCACTTGTTGCAGTCATGGAGCCCAGACTCCCATTTCATCTTTATTAGTGGAAAACTTTATATAATTTAATTATGTCTTCATAACAGGTATTCTATCTGAAGTCAAATGAAAGAGAGTAATTTCACTGCATTGCTATGAATATACTGAGTAATTTCAAACTCTGGTTGATCATTATAATTTTCTCTCTTCTCTGGTGCAGCCAAAGAATTTTTTGAAAGAAAATTCCCGAACTTCAGATTTACTGGCTCACACAAGGAAAAAGAAATTAATCTTCATGCATTTTCTGAGTCACAGGCTCACAGCCACTATATATTAAACATCCAATTAACTGCTTTCAATAATACTATATATCTATCCTCTAGAAATGTATGAATAATTAAGCGCACTCATAAAGTTAGTGTCTATTTGATATCTGTCCGGCCTAAGAAAAAAAAACAAAAATTGCCGTTTGTGAGCATTCGAATGCAAAGCAAAATAAAAAATCCAGAACAGAGAAGCAAAATAAATAATCCAAAACAGAGAAGCAAAATAATATAGGGAATATTACCCTAAACGGCTAAACCTCCTGATGGTTTCCTTTAATCATTTAAATCATCTAGTTTTCAATATAACTCTCAAACCCCTACAGTTTTCAATATGTTGTGGTTGTGTGTGAGTTGTGAGACGAGAGAGAGATAAAAAGGGAAGATGATGATGTGAAAGCATTTGAATGTTAATATCTATCTTAGGGGTATATGTGTCTTTACAGTACTCTTCAGTCAATGAGGACGCTACATTTGATTTGTGGTTATTTTTCTTAAACCCACTATAAGTTGGTCATTTTATCTAATTTTCCGATACTATTCCAATTAGCAAAGACTGGAAGTTAAAAAAACACCACACAAGACTAGAGGCATAAACCAATCGAGCATATATAGATTCAAGGAGATGATACTTTAATAATTCACAAGCCTAAATTTTATGATAAATATAACATATAAGAAACCAATAAGTTTCAGCACCCAATGGGAAAAAATATATAACATTAATAGAGTACAAAAGGATTTAACATGAGATTAGTCAATAATCAAAATTAAATCCTCATTTATAATATTATTATGGCAGAACAACATTTTCCCACCCAAAGTTTGACAAAACGATACTTTCCCACCGTTCAAGTTTCAAAATGACACTTTCTCACTATTCGTTAGGTTCTGTTATGTTTTCTGTTAATATTTAGTGAAAAGAATAAAATACTCTTAAGTATTTGATTTTATAAATTTTTTATTATTTTTTAGTTAGTCAAAAAATCAAATATTAAAAAGTAAAAAAAGAAAAAATAATTAATCCCATCTAAAAATTTAGAAGTAATGATATATAATTGTTTAAAGTTAAATGACCTTAATATTTATTTATAATATCATCAATATCCTATAACTATCATTCATTAATCTACTTATAATATTTTTCATTTTTACTAATTAACATATAAAATTAATATTCTTAATTAATTAAATAAATAAAAGAAAAAAGATATCTTTACACTTAAACTAATAAATAATTAAATAAAGACTTTAATTTAACTAAATTTTAATTTATAATAAATTAGTTAATAAATAAATTATTTAAAGGTATTTTTATTTTTTTAGTCAAATATTAACATAAAACACTAACAAAACCTGACGAATAGTGTGAAAGTGCCACTTTGAAATTTGACAGATGGAAAAGGGTCATTTCGCCGAACCTTGGGTGGGAAAATATAGTTCCCCTATTATTATTGGATATATTTGATAGTATCTCTTTATATAATGCATGCAGGATTAATTGCCTTGAGAATTGCTATTTGACAGCTAGGAACTAAAGTCACTAACCATATCTTTCAGCTAAACTACAGCTCTTAAAAATAAAATAAAAATACACCGACCGTACCAAGATATTCAAATTTGGCCCAATTATGAACCAGTAATTTAATTGTTGGATTAAATTAATCAAACCTTCAACTTAAGGAAGTGCTGACAGCTAATTATCACTTACTTCTCCAGATCTAGTATTACCTAAATGACAAAAGCAGTCGTTAATTAATTAGTATACTTCAAACATGGAGCAACGCATTGACTCGGCCACTCAGGAAGTCAGGGTTCCGATATTTGAGTATTTATAATGTATTTATAATTATTTAGTTCGATATCATGAAATACATTTATATTTATGAAGAAAAAAAAAAGGCTTTAATAAATAATATAAAAATGCTTCCATGCGCATTTGCAGGAAGATGTTATTTAGAAGAGGATATCGATTATTCGGCCTGGTCATTACAAGAAAAACAAGAAAATGCCAACCGTGTATTCCTTATATTAATTAGAGTTAACTACTTTTTTCCACTCAAATGATAGTTTAATAACATTTTTTCACACATAGATTTTTAAAATACTATTTTATTACTTAAATTTATATTCAGACGGTGAACGGAGAATAAATACGGTCCATGCTATTGAGCTTTTAAAGCGAGGAGATCAATGAATCTTTTGATGGTAAAATGATAGATTTTGATGGTTAAAATTGATATGAATTTGATTTAGGAGGGACAGTTGCACAAACCCTAATTGTTTGATTACTAGCAATTGACGAGGTCAAAAGGAGTAAAGTTTAAGGGGTTTTAGTGAGTGATGATCGGAGAAAAGAATAGTGATAGTGTAGGGTCGCAAGGATGCCGAAATCGAAAATTGAATATACATTTTGATAATAAAGTGATATTTTTAATATTTATAGATAAGAAAATGTCATTAAGTCATTATTTGAGTAGGAACCGCCATTTACTCATAATAATAATTATAAGGAAAAAAAGCTTTAATAAACAAAAACAAAAAAAGCTACCATTGTTGTCTATTTTTCAATTAAAGAAAAAGGAGCTAGTGCCTCAAAACGAGGGATTTGTTTTTATATGATCTGATCCGGAAACAAGAGAGAGAAAGAAAGAAAACTTAAACACCCTCAAGTCATTACACCTTTGGCTGCTACATGATCCATAATTATGTAGTAATTATAGATGGGATTAGTGGGATTATTATTAATCACTAATAGTATTTCCGTGTTTTGTATGTTCAAACTGCTTAGCTGTAGTTGATAAAGTTGAATGATACATATCTAAGTTGTTGATTGTCCATATCTGAATCAGTCTTTTGCTTAATAAATAAAGAAAAATCCCATATACAATTTAAAAATTAAAAAAATAGAAATTTCCTGTATTTGAAAGAATCAATTTAAGAAAACATTTCTTCCCCGCAAGAGTGCTCAATTCTTACACTTAATCCCTATTAATTCTAGATGCCTATTAATTTACAGTATAATTAATAAGATTTATAGTCGTTCGACTACACTGGGTGCAAGGGCGACTTCAACCCATTATCTGAGTCAATTGTTGTTGATCTTGGTGACCTATACTGATTTCTACGGTGATTATGAAGCTTGTGATTTTGGCGATGGTGACTGCTCTCTTTCCTTGATTCCCTTTTTGTTTCACTTTCCTTTACATCTTCCTCCTTGCGCAAAGTGTCGGTTGGAACTGTAAACACAAATGTTCCTATTGGAATGTCTTCATAGTCTTTGAGCGGCTCCAAAGTCTTAACTACAGTGCTCATTGTGGGTCTTTGTCTTGGCCTGTGGCTGAGGCATAGATAAGCCAATGCAGCCGCCTTTCGGGCGCCCGTCTCTGAGTATTGGCCTTCAAGTCTCGGATCCATTATTCGACCAAGTTTCCGGGGATCATTCAACATAGGTCTCGCCCACTCTACTAAGTTCTGTTCTCTTTGAGGACGGCTCTTGTCCACCGACCTTCTGCCTGTTAAAAGCTCCAATAACACTACCCCAAAGCTATAAACATCACTCATTGCAGTCAAGTGACCTGAAAAAAACATTTACTTTTATGTCAAGGCTAAGAAACTTTAAGAGATGGGAAATGCACAAAATAGTATTTTCAATAAAGTTAATTACCTGTCATGATGTATTCAGGAGCGGCATAGCCTTGTGTGCCCATAACTCTTGTGGAAACATGCGTGTCATCTCCTTCTGGACCATCTTTTGCTAGCCCGAAATCTGAGAGTTTAGGGTTGTAATCCTAGAGAATAAGAATAAAATCTACATTAGCCAAAATAGAAAAGAAAGGAGGAAAAAAAAAAAAAATGCAATTTTGGGTGTAGAATAATAGAGGAATATGTAAAATGCTTACTGAATCTAACAAGATGTTTGAAGCTTTAAAATCCCGATATATGACAGGTTTTTCAGCTTCATGGAGATACTCAAGTCCCTTTGCAGCTCCATGAGCAATTTTCATTCTTGTTGACCATGGTAGTGATACCGAATATCCTGCACACACAAGGAGAATTCACATTAGTCTCCTCATTGCTTCAAAAAAAACTTCAGAAAAAACGTTTTTATATATATATTGCGTACTTCTAAAGAGCTGATTCTCTAAGCTGCCCCGTGGCATATATTCATAAACCAGTAGCCTATGTTCTTCTTCACAACAATACCCAATCAGCTTCACCAGATGTGGATGTCTCAATTGTGCAAGAAAGATGACTTCTGTCTATCAAAGGAAAAAAAGGAAATAGAAGATAAGTTAATAATTTAAAACAGTGGAAACTCCAATTCCTTGTAAAAATCTTTAATTATGATGTATAATTATCAATTTTGTCCAGAAAGTACTCACCAACCACTCCTTATGTCCCTGCAAACCATCCAAATCCAGAAGCTTAACGGCCACCGGCTGAGCCTTCAAACCAGGCCGAAGTTTGTCATCGATGAACCCCTTGTGCACCGGTCCAAATCCACCTTCACCAAGAAAATTACTCGACGAGAAGCTCTGCGTGATCACCTTCAGCTCGGCCAACGTAAAAACATGAAGGTTTGAACCAGCAAGAGATACGGAAAGATCTTCCGAAAGCGTAATTGAACTGGGATTACTCAAATCCAAAAATGAAAGCCTCTGGAATGAACTTTGCTTTGTCACTGCCTTCTTGGGCTTGTCTGATTTAGGCTCCTCTTGAGCAGCGAAACAATTTGGGAAAATAGATCTCCACGTAAAATTCTTCTTCGCGACCGTCATAGCTAATGATGAATGGTTCCTGAAAGCCCTAGTGGTTTATCAGATGAAGATCCAAGCGTTGATGTCAAAATCTTGTTGTTATCTGAAAGAGAGAGAAGTAGGTTTGGAGAAGGTTTGAAGATGAAGAAATGAGAAGGATTAGGAGGGACCTTTAAAGGAGAGCCCAAGACTAATATTCAAAATACGAACTGTTCTCTGAAATCCCAAGTTGAGAAACTCCTTTCTATCTTCCTTGGAATTTTTCTATGAATTTGTCATTCTTTGCATAAAAATATATCCTATGATATTCGACATGGAATTCTTCCACCTTATGTTCTATTTATAATATAGATTTAAATGTTATTATATCATTTGATTATTGTGTTAATACGTTCTAAGTCCACAAAGTTGGTTCAATATAAAATTACTTAATTACCCTTCTTGACTTTCGCGTTATGGTGAAAACAATAGAAATTTCGATACGGATTTTCCTCCTTGGAAGTTTATGCATAAAAAGCACGCATTCGAATCACCAATTATTTAATAACTAAATCCCATAAAAATTCAGCCACCATGAAATGAACTTCCCCATATTCATGTTTAAGGCATGCTTCTACTTCACCACGTCACTTTCAAAAGCTATACTTTTTCAAAAAATCTGAAAAGGCTTTGTATTATTAATATTATTATTATTATTATATAAATCTGATATGAAATATATATTATTTTTCATAAATTTGTATTTATCAATTGAAAGGGCAATTTCGTCTAATCGCGAATCATGTCTTGGGACTTTGGTAAGGTCTGCTTGCAATATTGGGTAACCTTCTGGAAGCTTAGGTCCAGACTTAAAAAAATAAATAAAATAAATGATTGCATTATCTTAATATCTATAATGACATAACCGGCCTCTATGCGTGACGAGATGGCACCAACTAGTGTGAACCGCGTGATGTGCGGACTTTTCTGCTTGTGGTAGATCTTACGGTCCGGAATCTTGCATTTAGTTGACTCAGATCTCCTCTACGGTGAGACCATAACGCGGTGGTTGAGGGGCGATCCCTAACATCTTGTTTAATCCTGTACGATTTGATGTTAAAACTAAAACCAAAATGAATCAAAACTATTTTAATAGTAATCATGCAGATAAACTTAAACTCTTGATTTTTTTGTACAAATCTGAACCGGAGAGAAGCTTCCGACTTCGAGTTAGAGGGATAAATTTGTCAATGAGGGAGTAGGTGAGTTGTGTGGGGTGGCCATTTGTCAATTTTCATGTCGTTACTTGAGGAAAGTCAATGTATATTATTGTCATTTTAGTTAGAATATAACGACCGCGTGGTGACATCGTCTGTTTATCTGCGTCAAAACGAAAGTTTTTAAGACTAAATCATTTCTTTCTGTCGAAGAGCAAGATTTATAAGTTATTATTGTTGTCTATTTACTAATATTTTGGTAGAAATCAAATGGGAACATACGAAAATAAATATCTTATTATATACCTAATCTTCTAGGCTCTCTCTCTCTCTCTCTCTCTCTCTCTCTCTCTCTCTCTCTCTCTCTCTATATATATATATATATATATATTAGAAGGTTAACTTTTCATCATAATCATCAATGGATGGTCGATGGTAAAAGAACAAAATAATATTTTATGAGTTCTTAAATTCAAGTTCTCACATACCCTACTAAGGGTAATTACTTAACGGTTTATTTGGTTGTCAACTTTAAAACTCCGAAAGATTAATTGAGGTGCGTATAATCTAACTCGAACACCTTTAATCAAAAAAACAAAAAAAAAAAAAAAAAAACCTAAAAAACTCTTCATCAAGACAAGTTGTAGATCTCTCTTTCAATGACAGCTTATTCTTTTTTTTCTTGCTAGCTCAGTATATCAACTATGAACCACAATTCCACAAATGCTCTGGAAGAGACAATCCACCATGCATCAGCATCGATGATCGATCCATGACAGGATCCCTTCAAGCAATCCTTTTAATTTATATTTTATCCATATACGACATTGACCCTTAAAAAAATTAGAATATAAAATTATACATTATTAGTTGAGAAATATATCTCTTTCACAATTTATTTATTGTCACACCCTTTGAAAATACAAGGTAATATATGTTTATTGTTATTATTCTTACTATTATCATATATTATTTGTATCTCATCGTCAATAAATTAGGATGAACTAATCAATTAAAGTACAACTACTTTCACCTTCTCTATAATGCGTATGGAACTTCACCAAACACTCAAATATATACCAAGGAGTTTTGAATTTTTATTTTTTATATTGACTGGAAAGTTTATCTAAAAGCACTATAATTATAGCAAACAAAATACAAAATAATCAACTTTTGTATACATGAAAGTTAGGAGAAAAGTCTTAGTTTGTATACAAACCATGACCAAGAAGGTTGACATTTTCCCTCTTCATCATATTCAAATTTAATTTACTGCATTATTTATTGATTAATCTTGTTTAGAACCGGTTGACCAGACCATTAAATACAAGATTTAGATTAAGTAATTAATCAGCGGTTACAGTTAATAATATAAAGCGATGCCTAAAGAATTATTGTAGACGTGATGTAATAAAGTGACCCAGTGGGAGAATGTTGGAGTTGTCGACTACTTCAACATTAATGGGTAACGGAGACGCACTCGGGGGTCCCGCTGACCGGTCAGTGGTCAGGGGTCACGGGGGCAGCGCCCCCGAGCCCGTAAGCGGTTTTGGGCTTTTCCATGTATAACCGCTGTAGAATTTCTTTTAAGTTACTAATTCCTTTTTGGGTTGGGCTTAGGAATAGGAATCCATGTAAAACTAGGTTTAATCTCTTAACCTAGTATATAAACATACTTTTCTCTTGTTATGTGTGTTAGAACAATTCATTCATTGTAAACGAGAGAAGTGAGACATATTGCAATAATATTGACTCAGCTGGACGTAGTCTACATTAGGTGAACCAGAGTAAATCGCACGTATTATTTTCTTTGTTTACTGTTTGATTTGTTTTACTATTATATTTTATTCCTGTTATTACCTTTATTTCGTCCAGAGCTAATAACGACTCTCATTAGTGGTGACTGTCCTAAACACAACCAATTTCTTAATATGAACATACACGTGTAAAGGGCTGACCAGAAGATTGCATACGTGTGAGATATATTTAGTAAGAAAAAATAGTATGTACGCAGGGGAAACAGTCTATGGTGTAAGCGTGTTTATAAACGAAGCGACAACGTGCAGTAATGTAATTACTAAATACATAATTAGGTAATGGGTCAGAGTCAACCTTATGATTGGCCCAACCTTTCTGACAAAACACATAAAATTAACGCTAATTTAATTTGTAATATAAAGTGAAGATCTGATTGCAGAAGTTTCAGGGTTGGACTGACTACCTCTTAAACGTGTCAGCGATGCGTGTGAAGGCTTTTTCCCATGTGATTTTTAATTAATTTGGGCGCTGTCACAATGGATTCCTATTTGCACCAGCGTCTCTATTTTAGAGTAATATTACACTAATTATAATTTTTTTTATAAATTTTTTCTAATAAATTTAATGTGATTGTTTATAATTAGTCAACTTATAATTAATTAATGAGACCTATGTAAAATTCATGTAAGACCCAATGTGAACAGACCAATTGTGAGTTATTACGTCAAAATTATGAAAAAAAAATTTGTAAAAGAGAGTTGTTGATATAGTATTATTATTTTAAAAACTCAATTAAATCTAAATCATTGATGTATTTCACAATTTTAATAAAATTATGCGATAAAATCCAATTAGTTTTTTAAGGGAAAATATAAAACCGAAACCAATCATATACACTAACTATCAATAATTTTATTAAATTAATAATGTTTATAACACATGTTTATATTTTATAGTTTTTGTTATGGAAATAATTTGGAAGAAAATAGACCGGTTTGGATATGGGTCCAACACTGAAACCGGCGGGGGAATTTGGGTCCAACACCTGGGCTAATTGGGTTAACCTTCTTCCATAATCTAAAAGAAGTTGGGTAGCCATGAATACGACTGATGGGTCAGAACAGTTAGACCAACTGACACAAAGTTATTCCAAACTAAACAAAAAATAAAAATGGTCACGTAAGGGCTGTCGGAAATGATTAAACGTATTCTCAAGTAATTGAAATTAACACGACATAAAGTCATGAACTCCAGGCCTTGATGACTCATTCTAAGTTCTAACGTACAGCTGATATAATAAAATAATCAATTTTTTTTTAACATTTATTATATAGTATTCTGATATTTATTATTAGGGCACACTTTAATAGAAATATATGTTAATTTTGTTTATATTAGGACGACACTTTTTGGAGATAAAACCTGTTCATGACAAACGCATTAATTTCATTCAGAAACACTTATAAAGAAATCATACATCTACAGTATACTTCTATGAGAAATTTTTCTTCTAACTGACCTTGTTTATCTATCCACACGTTTGTTATGAAGCTTATATGAGTTCTAAAAGTATATTTCAGATATTTTTTTTTTTAAATTGTGGTAGCTTAAATCTGTAGTATTGGGGATAACAGCATTAATTTATAATAATAGTCCTTTTCTTTTTTCCACAAAATATGTATAAACCTCTCTCTCTCTCTCTCTCTCTCTCTCTCTTTGGGAGGGGGAGGTAAGTTATTTCAAATTATAGAGTTATTATCCCTCGCCTCCCTGAGGTTTGCGTTTTTCAAGTTATGCCCCACAAGTTTAAAATAGCATCCCTGACCTCCCCTTAGATTTCAATAATTTTCTGAAACCTCCCCTATCCACCGTTTGTTAACAAAATTCGTTCAAGAAGAAAGTATGTAAGCCCCTTAAGTATATAGATATTTCAAATAACCCTCTTGGAGTATAATTGTATCTATTATTTATTTATTTATTATTAGTTTTTTTTAAAAAAATTAGAAGTAAATTGTATCTATTAATTAGGGGTGAGCATGAGTAGTGGGTAGAACCGGAATCGAACCGAAATTAACATTGTGCGGGTAGGTTTTGGTTCTAATTTTTTGGAATTGACATTATGCGAGTCCAATTCTAGTTCTAATTTTTTGTAATCGATACTATGCGGGTCTAGTTTTGGTTCCAATTTTTTGGAACTGATACTATGCGGGTTCGATTATGGTTCCTACATGTGTAGGAATCGGAACCTGGGATGGGAACCGATAGCGGATACTCGGGATGGAATCTACCTGGAACCGAGGTGAGTATCTGGGATAGAACCTATCTTGGAACTTGGACT